ATTCAACCTACTTTCAGATCAAGTTTATCATATCACGTACGATAGCCTATGATCGATCGAGTAAAATCCCTAAAAAATAAATAAGTAAACAACTTGAGAAATTACTACAATAGAATCAATCTAGCTAATCATTTTGAATGAATTAAACCAAAATGTACATTGACACCCACCAACAAAAAATTAATGGAAGAGTGATGAGTTCACTTAATGAATGGTAATTGAAAGTAAAGCATGGTTATTCAACTAGGTCATATTGTTATTAACTTACCAAGTTCATGACCCATTATCAATTCTATATTTTATAGCTACTTAATCAAAACTCAATTATTCCAAATATACTTAACTTCAGGAAGACTCAAACTCAAGCTAAGTCTTACGAGCTTAACTCGCTTTAAGAGTCAACAAAGAATGTAGAAAAACAAACACAATTAAAGCATACATCAAACTATAATAAAGTTCTTCCAATTTCAAAATAAGTACAAAAAGTTGTTTTACAATAAATTTTCTGTTAGTTTTTGATCTACAATCCATAATTTGATTTTTCATTAAAGAATCTCATAAATTATAAGAGCTCGGCTTGGTCTAAACTCGACTAAAACTGGCCTTAAGCCGAGCTTGATCATCCACAACCACAAGTTGGTCATATAGTACACCTAAATTTCAAGTGATCAAGATAAACACTATTTATTAATATATTATCATTCCTTACTTGATACTACAATAACCTCCTCTCTCTAATCATTTTTTTCAACCCTTTAAATGTCAGTTAAGTAGTTAGTTAGTGAGAATAATGCACAAAATGTACAAATTAGATTTGACAATGCAACCATCTGAATCTATTGACTTTCTGTACATCCCTTGTATTTTAAAAATCATACATTAAACTTTTACTCCTCAGACAATACTAAAACAATAATAATCTCTAACAAATCAATACAATATATACTGTTAAAAACAATGTAGGTCAACCAAGCTCACTAATCTCTGGTAAATTCCAACTACCTTAGTTGGTTAAAGTCTAATCAAGCCGTATTACACACAAGATCTGAAGTCGAATTCCTTCTGTAAAAGGGATTATACATACACTGGAAATTAAAATAAAAAAAATAAATCAGAAATAATAAGGATTCTGACAGGCAAGAAGCAATTAAATTTGTTGACAGGGGCAAGATTATTGATAAACTACCAAGTCTGAGAAATAAATGTCAGAAAGTTAGGTGAAACATTGCTTTCTTCACATAAAAATGGTTTAATAATTTCTTAAATAAGAGAGTAAAATTGATTAGTTTTTCCTGCCAATAATATACAACTCCAATTTCTGAATAAACCAAAACCACTAACTCTGTATTTATACCTCTTTCTTACGTCACAAATTTAATCAACTTACTCAGCCATAACAAAAAGACAAGTATATAGCTTTCAAAAAATTTGGTGAAAAAAAATTGAACATCACCAAATTAGATTATTTAACCCCAAAAAAAAATGCAATGATTGTTCAACCAGTTCTAATATTCATAAATATACTAAGCTTCAATTTCCAAGATATTCTTAATTTTTTCCTGATTAATGTGGACCCTCCTAAGTACGAGGTGTATGAATATATAATCAGACTACTAATAGCTAAGCTTACTCAAATTCATGAAAGTTGTAACTTGTAACACAAGAACATTTACTGATCGATTTCCTTACAATAAATTTCAGAGTTGATGGAAGAGTGCAGTGGTGTGATGAAGTTATGTGTAGTTTTTAATTTATGCAGTGCTGCTATGAGTCTATAGTTTGCATGTTAAGGCAAAGTATTCCTGGTGCAATATTATGATATCAACAACCTCTAGTATGTATAACCGTGAGGCAAATCAAGTTGCGGATTTTGTTGCAAATCAACGATAATTTTGAGGTCAAACAAGGAAGGTAAAACGGAGTTATTGTCTTAAAAGAAGACGACAGTCTGTAACTATTCATGGTTAATCATTATCTCATATTCTAAAAATAAGTAACGTTAAGATAAGTTTCGAAAGTTAACAATGCTCAACGTAACTATATATTGTGGTTACATGAATGATAAGGAAAACAATGCGAACATTCACTAGATGTGGATTGGAAAAGGGTTTACATTAGCTCGATTCTCTGAAGAAGGTCTTGTTACTAGTGGCTCGCCAATTATCCACATAAACTAATAACAAAACACTGCTCAGTAGAATTTCTATTCAAGGTGATTAGCGATTATTAAGTTCAATTTAGTTTACAACGATATCTATGTTCGTATGATGACAAATAGATTCAGATAAGTTTGATTTAGGAACTTAATCAATAAAGAGATACGGAGTAATATGAAATAGAACGGCCATATTTCTTCTAGAGAGTGAAAATAAAAAGGTTACACAAAGGAACTAGGTATGTATGTAGATCGGTGAAACTCCTATAATTAGACAAACATTTCTTAATGAAGTTCGGCTATATCAATGCTTAAATTTGTAATACATGCCTAAAAGGTTTGATTAGTCTCAGCAAGTTTCTAACTCGCTTTAAATTGTAATCTTAGTGCATTTAGTGAAATATAATTAAATTGACTTTGAGTAATTACTTGAAGCCATCACTTGTGCTTCAAAGTATCGCACATAGTTTGTGTGTTTTACTCATTAAAGTAAAAGCCTTTTCGACAAAATTCATCAAAAAACTGCATATGTAATTCAAGTTTTTGACACATTTGGTAAGTTTAATTTTGGTGCAATTCCTAATTATAGTCGAATTTCCATCATTAGAAAGAGTAGCGGAGACTCTTAATTAGGACTCAAACCAATTAATTAGAGTAAATTACCTTCAAAACAATTATCTAACCCAACTTAATTAGTTGAGATATTTAGCATGTAGATAGGTTTATAATAATATCACCTTCAAAGAATAAAAGGTAGAGAAAAAACAGGGGAATGTAGCCGTTAACAAGCAAACACCTTATGCAAACTTTATGCGCAACAACCCTTGATGATAGGTTCACATAAAAGACCAAAGCTAAAGGTAAAAGAGCCTGAAAGTGAAGCACAGGAATTATAATTATGTACAATTTCAAATAGACCCTTCCTTCAAATTTGAGTAAACAACCAAATTTGGTGACCCCTCCACTCCGACCCCACCTCACCAATATAATATTAATTAATTTAATAAAAGCAAATAAAGAAAAAAAAAACCATACCCTTTTCATTTCTGTTTGTCCCATACTATAAATTATTAATATTGTATAGAGATCACTACTTTACTCTCACATTTACTATATACGAACGTATCATATACGGTCCCTTCTACCTATACGTAAAACAAAACAGATCAAAGAAATTACAGTTGTTGATAAAGTATACAAATCGATTGTGAATTTCAACCATAAAATTGATTGAATTGGAGCCTATTCTCATACGTTGAAATTCAGTTCAGTTCAGTTCCTAATTTCCTTCTCTTATAAAATATTCATTTCAGTTCAGTTCAACTCAGTCATTGAGAACAGGCCCTTGGTCTAGTGTGGTAAAAAAAAAAAAAAAAAAAATATTCCTGTAACATTAACTTTATTTGAAAAAAGGGGTAAAGGTGAAAAATAAAACAAATAATGAAGGTTCGAGTAAAAATAATACAGGAAAAGAAAAGGAAATGGATCCCACCGACTATTAACTCTTTGCGTGTACAATGGGTCACAAATAGTGGGCTCCTCCTGTTTGTTCCTCCTGGTGACCAAATATACTCCATTTGTCAGCCTAAAAAAAAGTTGATAAAAATAAATCCTATCATAATAATAATAATTTCTCTTTCTCCTGAAACCATTTAAATCCCTATTTTTACTTGTAGAGAATAACGTTTCACCAGGCATCCCATCACAAAGGAGACACATTTTGAACATATTTAAACATCAAGAAAAAGGATTGCTTAACCATAACCAAGATTATTCATGTTATCTAAACATCACCACCTCCAGTCCTCCACCACATAATAATCCTAATAATATTCGAGTCTATGTCGTTCAATTGTTGATTATGGACTCGAGAAAGTTCTGGACTAGTCGAGCAGAATTAAAACGAGGCTAAACACCGCCTTTTTATTGCTACAAGTTAAGAATCATACAACCACAAAAAGAGAGAGCTTAGATTGACTGAATGTGGGAGGCTTCCCTAAAGAGTAAAGAACCATCTTTTTTTTTTCATCTTTATAAAGAAGGTAAAAGATCAAACTCACAACCTACCCAGTAACAAGCTAAGAAACACAAAAAGAACAAAAACCCCATATTATTATAAGTGTTCACATGAAAAAACATAACAGAGAAGAATTAGTCAAACATTAAAAAAAAAAAAATCAAGTCAAATTTATCTGATCAAACCCAGAATCTGTACTGAAAACTAATTAGAAGTACTAGTTTCTAATGTACTTTAAAAATTATTTGATCTTATCCAAAATTAAGATTAATTTATAATTGAAATAATAAAGAACAGTAACAGATATAAAATAATGTTTATTTTTTTTTTATAATAATGTTCAAATAGTGTGATGAACATAAATTTTCTCACACCACCTTCAGTCTCTCACCCACAATAATCGAGATAGCACGAGGGTTCAATTCAATTTTCTCACTAGATTCTCCACTTCCCAGCTTACCAAGAAAGTAATTTAATTAAAATATTAAACTAGCCTGAAAAGAGGATATAGAAGTTGCTAAACAACAAAAATAAAGCTGAATTCAGAATTCTCACCTTTCTTTTACTTTCCTTCCCCTTTTTCTTCTTCTCCCTTTTGTCTTTGCTGTATTCTCAAATTGTCTTAAGCTACTGCAAATCAGATAATTAAGCTTCACACCCTTAACATTAACAAACAGCAAAGGTATACATACCAACACAATCGAACATTACGAGTCAATTGAACAAATAGAGAACAGCGAGAACGAATTGAATAAACAGATATCGAATGATGGAAAACGAGATCAAAGGCGTATATAATCAAAAATTAGATCGAATGAACAAAAAAGATTGAAGGTGTAATAATATATATGACAATATATTTGCTGCTTTTTTGTATATTATTGATATGATTCATATCAGTAGGTAGAGATTGTAATATAATATAACCCTTACAACAAAAAACCAGAAGGGATTGAAGGGAGAGAGAGCTAGAGGTCAAAAGCTACCACCCACCCATGCAATTCACTTATCAAGTAGTAGTAATAGTTGTTGCTAGTAGTAGTAAGTAGTAGTTAAACATAATCCCCTCTATAAACTTTTGCATCTTCTTAATAGTAATTACCCAAAAAACTAACTCCCTCAAAAAAGAAAATTTGGACCAAAAAAGGGATAATATAGAAACAAAAAAAAAAGGATCAAAATTTCATCTTGTTTCATTCTCTATGGTTTCTCCTCCATGATAGAAGCTAAACCAGTGATGACAACCTCAAGTTCAGGGGCTTTCTTGGGATTATTGTTCCTTTTCTCCTTGACATCCTCCTCACCTGAGCTCTCGGACATCTCGAACACCGACTCCGATGGTGGCGAGCTCCGGCTCTGCTCTGACTCATCAGCTTGGTGGTGATCAGACTCCGCGGCCCTATTAGGGCTCGGCCCATCGGAATTGATGACAAAGCTAGCAGGGGAGAGTGGGCTTGGGGGCGGAGTAGCGGTGACAGTGGTAGTGGTCGAGGCGGGGGCGATTCGGGTGGGTGGAGACAGCCACTTAGCCTGAACATAATCAGCTTTTCTCCAAGGAGGGATGTGCATACCCTTCTTCTTAAGGCTTTGTTTAGCAGCTTCAGAGAGAATACAAATAATCTTCGAAAGGCGGTCGGATTTTCCCACAAAGATGTGAGGGAGTGTCTGAAGGATTGATTTGTAGGTCTTGGTTGATCTTGCAACCTCAAATTCTGACCTGAAGTCTATGTCGATTATCAGTCTCTCTCCTCCTACAATCACATCCACATACTCATATTCCCCTGTTCCACAAATTCCCCAAAACTTCAATCAATTCATTTTATTTGCAAATTATTTAATTTATACAACCCCAATTAAACAGAAATCACTGATTTTCAGGCATAAATTTAGAGACCAATATCATAAATCATCCTAAAACAGAAATCACTATAATATAGGCAGAAATGTAGAGAATTACAATCTAATCTTTATACTACAGTATAATACTACTATTAACACGGGAAATTTCCAAATTGCTAATAATAATAATAATAATCAAGAACTAAAACTTCCATATTTCGCATTCAGACATCAAATTTGGAATATAATCAGGCCAATTAGAACAAATAAACTACCAAATTAAGCTAAAATTTAATTGAATTGAGAGGAAATTAAATTACCAGCTGGAAAAGAGGGGGATTTCTCCCATTTAGATTTGCAAATTGCAGCATCATACCCAAGCGCCATTAAACCTTCAATTACAATCTTCCTAAGCTCATCTTTTCTCTTGCATGTCTTCTTCTCCGCCACAATCTTGGCCGTATCAGCCAACACATTCCTCTCATTCACACTCGCGCACACCACCAAACTCTGCACTCGACAACCAACAACAACCACCACCACAATTAGTTCCAATCGAAACGATTAAAAAACGAAGAGACGACAATCGAATACACACACAATCAGTTACCTTGAGAAAGTCACAGACATCGGCGGAGGACACAGTGTTATCCGACTCACCATCGGACCCGTCACTTCCGTTGCCGTTAAAGCAATTACACCGGTTCCTCCCACACCTAACCGCAGACGATTGCGAGGGTTTCTCGTTGCTCTCCTCGATGAAATTCTGAACCATCTTAGCTAAACAAACTGAACTCGGCTCAAACATCTCCGACGATGCCACCGGAACAGTCGGCTCAGAAACCGAGATCCTGAACAGCCGTTTAAGCCGCGACTTCACCATCGGCTGCTTTGCCGGCTCCGCCATCGGAATTTCGCCGGCGCCGGCGTCAATCGGCTGAATCTTCATCGTTAACGGCATGATGAAATCGATGATCAAATTCCACACCAAAAACCTTGAAAATTCTCTCTCCTCTTTGTTTACACTAACTCTGATGAAGCTTCGCTTTTCTCAATTCCTCGGTACTCCATTTTTGTCATTTTAACCTCCCAAAAAACACGAATTTCAGCTCGATTTTCCGCTTTTTTTTTTCTCGAATATCAATTGATGTAGATAATCTTTAAATCGCGCTTCATCGCCATTTCTCGCATCTTCCAACAAACCGATTACCAACTTTTTTTTTATCCTAAATATTAATTATATTGATTACAATTATAATTATAATTATATATATAATTCACGGAATCCGAGAAAGATTAAGCTTAAATTATACCCTAGAAATGCTTCAACACCTTGTGATTTGCGAGGTAAAGCATGGAATAACTTGTAAACTCTGCTTAGTAAACTCAACCTTTTTTTCTTAATCAGAAAAAAAAAAATCAAAAAAAAAAAAAAGAAAAAAGAAAAATCAGTGTTCAAATTCAAACTCACACGAATTCGCTGCCATTATTTCTCAGAGTAAGGTGAAGCGGTTAGACTGAATTTTCATGGAGGAGAGAGAAAATGTGGAAAAAAAATGGAAGTTTTTTTTTTTAATTTTTCTTTAAATTTTTAGAGTTTGGTGGTTTTAGTTCATCTGTTTAAAAAGGAAGAGAGAGGGTGAGAGTGTTTATGTGTGAAGAAGGATAAAGAGGAGACAATGGAGGCTATGTGAGTTTTATAGGAGTAATGCTGACTAGGATTGACCATGTGCCACGTGTTCATCCTACGTGGCAGGTGGGTTGAATTAGGTTCGGAATTTCCGTAGCTGAATGTTACGTGCTGTGGATCGGGGGGATATTTGTGTTTTCGTGGTACGAGTGTACGACCGTTTACAGCCACGTCTAGTGTTGGTTACGCTTCATAGGTGGTTAAATTACCAAACTACCCTTTGTTAGTTTTTTCTTTGGAAGAAGTTGGTGCAATGTTGTAATAACCCCTTTTTTGTGTTTTTATTTTATTTTTATTTTTTACAAACCCCCTCGTAATGCGGGGAGTTTCAAAACTGTCTGTGCCACGTGGCGGATGTATGTAAGTAGGGTTTGGAGGGATGAAATGTCGAAATTACCCCTAGAGAAATTTGTGATTGAGAGGTGAAAGTGGACAGGAGTTCGTCTAGGAAGGTAAAGTTATAGGATGGGTGCGATCGTAATTTCGAGGGTTGATTGTAACTTTTTTATATTTTTGTGAGTGAAATTGTGATATGACAACTTTTAATTATTTTATTTATTTTTGAAAAGGAGTGTGTAAGTGACATGACATCGGTAAGTCCCACTATGATCAACATTCACTCAACAATTACAAAATTTAGGGTATGTTCTCCACTTCTGTTAACTAAACTGAATTTAATTTATTAGATCAGAACTGAAAGAGAAGGAAATAATGAGCTGAATTGAATTGAACTGAACTGAACTATTAGAGCTGAATTGAAAATAATTACAAAATTTAGGGTATGTTCTCGACTTCTGTTAACTAAACTGAATTTAATTTATTAGACCAGAACTGAAAGAGAAGAAAATAATGAGCTGAATTAAACTGAACTGAACTGAACTGAACTATAAGAGCTGAACTGAAAATAATGGTATGAGAACCGGCCCAAACATTGTGACATTTTTTTTTAACACAACGTTGTGATAATTTAATAAGAGTAGAAGGTGATCTTTCCTTTTTTTTTTTTTTTTTTTGAAATTAAAAAATTTTCAAGGTGGATTATATAAGAATTAGGGTAAGAAATCTAATAATAGTGATTAAAAAAAGGGAAAACATAATACTGTACTCCATAAAAAGTTAAAAATTAAAAATTGGCAATAAATAAACATTTATTACATCAATTTACTCGTGAATTGTCGATAAATTTCCAACTTAATTAATACTAAAAAGGGAAGTATATTAAATGTTTATTTTCATAATCGTTAAAAAAAATAGAAAGTATATAAATTTGATGTGCTAAAATAAAATGTATTTCTATCCAAAAAAACATATCTAAATTGTTGTTTTTCAAGTTGTAATAGATTTTTGCTAGAGACAATAAATTTAGTTCAATAAATAAGTGGAGACATAGAAAAATGGATAATACAATACTTCTTTCATAATTTATTTCAGACTTAAATTTTTTTTTGAAACCGTTTTTTATTGCTTGATTCGTATTTGACTTTTATTATTAGGGCATGTTCGGCAAAATGTAGCTGTGAAGGTAGTTGTAGCTGTGGAGATAGCTGTGAGCTGTGGAGATAGCTGTTAGCTGTCAACAAGCTGTTAGCTGTGAAAAAAGATAATTTAGGTATGATTGTTCGGTAAAGTAGTGGTTGACTAGCTGTTACATTTAAGAATCAATATTTTATTTTTAAAACTATACATTAAATTTTCAAAAGCTACTTCAAAAGCTACCTCTAACTTCAAAAGCTAATAATCCTAGCTTTTAATAAAAGCTACCTCCACCACTAAAAGCTACTTGAACCATTACTTTGCCAAACACTCACTTTTTTTGTTGAGTAGTTGTTTGGACTTGGTCAAACCACTAAAAGCTACCTAAAAGCTACTCAAAAGCTAGCGCCGAACACGCCCTTAAAGTTGAAAAGTAATGTCTAAAATTGAAGGGTTGGAAGGTTAGAAAATTGGGGGGGGGGAATTTAAAGAATAATCTTTTAGATAAATTGTCACAATAGAACAAACAAAAATTGCTTAATATCCAATATATACCAAAATTAGAAAACTATTTTCGTTTTTTTTGCTTTGAGATGTATTTTTATTTACGTAAACTATGGAGGTTGGATTTATGTATTGTTGTTGCACTCGAGTTAAAAGTAGGCCTTGAACGAGAAAATAACGAAAAAAGAGTGGGATTGAGTTAGAAGAAATCAAGTATTGTTGTGATGTCAATGAGAGTTTGTTTGAAAAGCGAGTTGAGAAGTTGAGGATACTATGGAAAATACTAACAAATGACGATATACATATTTTGTTTCTGGTATAGTATTTTTGTTATTTGTCTTTTAGCAATTCGACACGACAATGTACATTTTCCGTCATTCCATAGTTACCGCACATTTGTCACATTAATTTGACTCCAAAGCCGTTAAATCTGGTAAAGTTAAGTTAGAGTAAGAGATTGCGATTCGAACCTATAACTCTTAAACATCCAAACGTAATAATCCATTCCATTAATGAGGCTTTTTTTTGTGTGTGTATTTTAAGTTTAAACTTTCTCATTTTCGTTTTGAATGTGATTGCAATTTATTTACCTATTTTCTAAAATAGCCACATATCTCCTTGTTTTATGTTGAAATGTCTCTCTTTTTAACGGAGGTAATCACATTTACTCTACTAAGTACTTCCGCCACCTTTGTCATTATTAAATTACCCAAATTTGTCTCACATAATGAGTCTTAAACTCTTAATAACCCTATTAACTCCACTTACTTTTAAGTACACCTTATAACCATTTTTCCTTGATTTATTTCCATATTATAAGTTTTTATTTAGAGTTATTGTCATATTATCAGTAATCACATTAAAATTCTCTCTATAATTAAATTAGTTGTACATGTATTGTTGTATTGAAACATAAAAAGCTCAAATATTATACTAGTATGTGTATATATTGTCCAAAAAAATATACTATATGGCATTGGGCCACGTTATATGAGTCAAATTTACAAAGAAGAACATACTACTCCCTCCATTTTTAAATACTTGCTCCACTTTTCTTTTTCGGCCGTTTTTAAATACTTGCTCCATTTCCTTAATTGGAAAACTTTTACAATATTTAATTAATTTCTCTCATTAAGTGGACCCAATAATATTGATTCCATATTCTCTCTCCTTCAATTCTCTCAACTACTTTTGGTTTTTTACGTGGAACAATTTTATATTCTTCCACCAAGCTCACTACTTCTATATTTTATTACCTTCTTCAATTTCTCCTAAAATTCCGCACATGAAAAAATGGAGCAAGTATTCAAAAACAGAGGGAGTAATATTTTACAGTATATTTTACAAATTTGCAAACCTATAAAATAACTAAGCACCGTATTATCTAGTTTGACCAATTGACCAACCTGGAAATGGTCCAAAATTTAGTCATCATATCCTAAAATCCTAAATCCATTCCAAAAAAAAAAATTAAAAAAAAAAATAAAATTTACGAAGTTAAAAGTATGTCAGTCAACCTAATACAGCTAAAACTTCTTGGTCAAAACAGGATAGCTGACGTGTAATCGTATATTCTGTAGCATCAATTTGTTTTTTGGTTTTGTTAAGATTAACTAGCTTTCTGGCCTGTGCAATGCACGGTTTATTTATAGGTATACAATATATATAATTATTTTATAACATATTTATATTAGCAAATGAATAGTTTATAGAGGAGAAAAAGAGGTGAAAATTAAATGCAATTGTAGTATTAATTAAACTGGAGGGAAGTGAACCAAACAACCTTCAATCATTATACATGTATTGAAATAAAGTTTTTTTTTTCATATGAGAAAAGGGATTAAAAAAAAAAAGATTCAATGAGGTGACATGTGGCATTGAAGAAAAAAAATGAAATGTACATATGGCATTATAAGGATGATGGTTTTTGTTTTTAAATACTAAGTATAGATTTATACTCTATTTTTCAAAAGAAAGAAAAAGGGAGCCCACTTTAGGGGCCCATGGGCTCATTAATATGTCTCGCTTAATGGGCCGTAGGAGTAAAATTTGTTCGGCCCATTATAATTAACTTTCTCTCTCTACTCCTCCACATACACACTCTTTTCCTATTGGATAAACCTTAGTCCAATAATTTGTGGTTGGTAGTAATTATATACGAGAGCTAAATTTAATTATTAATAATGTTTATGTAGGGTCCATGTTTAAGATAGGGATTATGTGGCTCAAATGTTATCTTATGGTAAGCCAGATCATTACGAAGATGACTCATTATTATTTGATTGCTGATGTTTTAAACAATATCTAGCTAGCTCGTCCAACTGTACTCATTTTGCTAAAATCAAAATTAGGACCTGTTTTCAATTTAACGAAAACAAATGAAATGAACTGATTGGAGCTGAAATAAATCGTTTATGAGAGAAAGAAATTAGAAACTGAACAAAATAGATCCTTAATTATCATATTGTTCCAATTAACTTTCTTTTTAAATATCTTATGTGTAAAATCCCGAACAAATGAGATTACAATCTTATTGACTACGGATATACATAAGGTGTTTGAGTATTTGGTATACAAATAAAATGTAGTAGCTCTGAGTATGAAAACTCCATCATTCTGAGTATTTGTATGCAAAAGAGGAATTATAAATGTAATAATGGAATTGCATTCTAAACTAAGTGAGCAAGTTACTAAGAGGATAACGTTATGATTTATGGTCCACATAAAGTGTAACCTTGTTCTTGTAGGATATGTATATGCTAAGCTATAAGAAGAATGTTGTGCATTCTTATAAGTTATAATTTGCGGAATATGTTTTTTTTTTTCCTTTCTTCTTCCAAAAAAGAATAATACTATTGCAATCACGAAAAATCAATTTAGATTTTCTCGTTCTGTTGCATACGTATTGTAGTGTAAGAGATAATATATTTCCCATCCATGTAATAAACTTGTAATATGGTGTTTAATCATGTAAAATGCTTAAATATCTAATACTATATTGAAGGGTCCTACCTTCCATTTTTGCCCATCTCCATCTTTTATGGAGAGTGCATAATATAAA